CAAGTAGTCATAGGTCTTGTGGATAGTCATAGACCTTGGGTAACCTTGGTGGATAGTACCAGCTTAGATAAGGACAAGTGAATCATAGGTGGAGTTATAGTGACCCATCCCCTGAACCTTCACTCAGCCAATACCCTATTCTGGAAGATATCTGTACTCCCCCTAAACCCCTGTGTGAAAAAGTAAAAATTATGACTTGATCAGACTATAGACAAATCGTGGTTCTTTGTGTCTGCCTGTTTCCCCATTCTCTCTTTCAGGTGACCTCCCTGGACCCCTATTTAATGTCCTGCTGGACGGGGCACTGTGCCATTCCCTTCTCTATTTATATAGCCCCAAATTCCAGCCAGGGAATAGCGATACCCACAGGGGGTGGGGTTTCCCAACTCATCAATGTCGTCAAGTCAAGATAATCCCTCACAGATGCATCCGGAGGCCTATCTCCCAGGCAATTAGGTTCTGTCAAGTCGACAGCACTAACCACCACACTGCCCTTTCCTCAGCACTTCTCTCCCTTAGTGCCTATCTATATTAAAACTTTCTCTTCGTAAACTCCAATTTTACTTCAAAAGAAGCTAACAACTTCCAAACAACATGAAGGCTAAACTTAGTGGTGACTTGACATTTGTGTCTCAAACATGATCTTTATCATGGATCAGTAACCTCTAATTTTTAAATCTGAAATTTTTCATTTTAAAACTATTATATATGATGTATAATTCTAATACAGAAAAAAATGTGGATGAGAGCAGAACTTGAGCAGCTGCTGTTGCAGAAAGGTGGGATGCTTGGCCAGCATGAATGCGGCCTTGTGTTTATACAAAGGTAGGATGGTCGGCCAGCATGGATGCAGCCCTGGGTTTATAGAAAGGTAGGATACTTGGTCAGCATGGATGAAGCCCTGGGTTTATAGAAAGGTCAATTTGGACATTCACAAATACACAATGCTACTAGCAGCAAGAAAAACAGAAACTACCTTCCCAGAACCTGAAAAGAAAGCCCTTTCTTTTGGTCACAATTCCTTGCACATCACATAACTATTATGTTAACTTCCAGCATCTCAATCTTTCTGTTTTGTTCTCTATAGTGGAAAATTCCAGGATGTTCAGTATTTAATTACAAGGACCAGAGAATGGAGGGGTCCGGGTCTGGGCGAGTGGCTGTGAGGGAACTTAACAGCTAACTAACTATTATGAGTCCAAGTCAAGGCTCTTCCACATTCCTGAATGAAATATGAAACCATGACTCAAGACGCTAGCACTCCAGTGCCCACAATTCTGCTTAAGATGAGCTTGAAGCAACAAGTGGTTCATATAGACCCTCTTAGCTACAGCTAATGTAGGTTTTCTTTATCAAAATTTCATTTAAAAACGCTCTTGACTTGGAGGTCCCTTCTCTTGTGTAGCTTGGCTGCTAATTGTAGTGACTCCACAAAATCTTTTAGTCAGAGAGAACTTAAAAAAAAAAGACTTATTTACTTATTTTATGTATGTGAGTTGTCACTGCCTTCAAATATACCAGAAGAGGGCATCAGATCCCATTATAGATGGTTGTGAGTGACCATGTGGTTTCTGGGGATTGAACTCAGGACCTCTGGAAGAAGAGTCAGTGCTCTTAACCATTGAACCATCTCTCCAGCCCCAGCCAGACAACTTTTAGTGTCGAGAGTTTTGAGTTAACAGCAGAAATGAACTGAACACTTGGCATGAGAACACAGCCTTGTAATTTCAGTACTAAAGAGGTTGACACAGGAGGAGTTGAAATTCAGCCCTAGCTGCACGGCATGTACTTAGCCAGTCTTGTATACATAGCTAGACCTTGTCTTAAAAAGCAAAAAAAAAAAAAAAACCAAATCAAACAAAAACAATACAAACAAACAAAAACAAACCATAACCAAAAAGGAAGTCAAAAACCATGGGTTTAACATGCAGTGTGTACTTTTGTGTCTAGCACTTATGCTCAACTGTAATCTTCTGTCATTTTCTGTGTTGTTGCCTACAGTTGCAGAGGCTCTTTTTGCATTGCTGTATAGTGGTTCCATTACACAACAAAGAGGTATTAGTTTGTTGATGGTCTTTTGGGTTATTTCCGCTTGGAGACTATTAGGACAGATGCAGCCACGGGTGTCCTGATATCTGTTTGCCTGTATATCATAAGGACAGTTCCTATCAGCTGTGTGACCAACGAACCAGTGGAGTATAACAAACTGTCCTCTTTCAAAAGAGTTGCTTCAGGACACCATCAAATTCAGTTAACTCATGTTCTTGTCAACACTTGGTATTTTATATCACCCTTTCCTGTTTTATTGTGATGTATACAGAAACAAGTGAAGACGTTTGTCTTTTGAGACAGGGTCTATTGTAGTTCAGGCTGGCCTTGAATTACTGATCTTCATGCCGTCATCTTTCCAAGTACTAAGGTTACACAGATGTGCTACCACACCGCATTTGAAGCAAGTTTGCTTTTTTTTGCAGGACCTTTTTTTATTTGCAGGTTGCTTCTCTGACTTGTTAACCATCACAGTCTTCTATTTTGTCCAGTCATAATCCAAACAAAGTGTCTTCACTCAACAATTTTTTTGCACACTCTTATCATTTCGATGCTACCACGTGCATCTCAGGTGGTGACAGACTTCTGAGGCCCCCTGGATGCCTGACCCTGTGTAGGGAAACAAACAGCGCTTTCAGTAGTAGGTTTGCACATCCTGCTCACCTTGGTCTCCTTGGGTACCAAGGCCTGAGGTTGTGGAAACCCGGCCCGCTCCTTCCCTGCCAGCGCAGGGCGGGGCCGGCGCTGAGCATGCGCAGACGAGGTGGCGCATGCTCCTCAGCGAGGCGGGCGGGAGTCCGGCGCGCCCTCGATCCCCGCCGGCGTCGGCGACAAGTAGCCCGGTGAGCCCGGTTACTAACAAAATTCGCTGGAGACTCATAATCGTTCTGAAAGAGCGGAGCCCGTGCGAGGCGTCCTCGGGGAGGAGCTCGGCTCGGCGTTGCGGGTTGTGCGTTCCGGGCTCGGTGTTGCGGGCTGTGCGTTCCGGGCTCGGTGCTGCGGGTTGTGCGTTCCGGGTTGCGGACTCCACGCTGAGGGTTCCGGGCTGCGGGCATAGGTGAGTGCGGCCTGCGCGGCCTCGGCTCGAGGCTGCGGTGCCGCCGGGATGTCGCTGTGGGCGGGGACAGAGGCTGCGGGCGGCGCTCTGCTCCCGCGTCCTCGTGGGGACCCGCTCCGTACCGACGACCCCGGCCCCGGCTCGCACACCAACCGCCGCGGCTTCCCAGGAGCGGGAACCGGAGAGTGGGAGAACTTGATGCGGGCGCGGCGTGGGGCGCACAAGGCTGTGCGACTCCGCCTGGGACGATCCCTGTGCCTTCTGTATCGGGCGGGTTGTTGTAGAACGGAAAAAACAAACCCGGCAAGCCTTTCTTTAGCAAATTGACCCATCCTTTGCTTTGCCAACGCGAGAGACTGCATTGGTTGCCAAGGGATTTAAAATCGAGAGGGAATGATATTGATAATCACTCAGTTTTTAATTATACCCCAGATTTGTGCTTTTCTAAGAACATTATTTATTTATTTTTTCTTAAAAGCGAGTGTGATTTGGGATAGGGTCTCACTCACTGTGATGTCTTGGGTGGCTTGGAACTTGTGTAGACAGGTTGGCCTCAAACTCTGAGATCCACATGCCTCTTCCTCCTTCGTGCTGGGATGCAGTGTTTTAACTCTAGTTTCTGAGAATCTTAACAGTAATTCCTGGCACTACGATCTGCTTTCACGTC